CATTGTCAACCCAAAATGTGTTAGATATCAAATGCTTCCAAGGTTTTCCAGTCTATGGTGATAACGTGACGAATACAGTCTCATGAAAACTCCTCAGTTTCACTCGTGCTCCAGTGACAACGGACTATCTGGTTTATGGGTAAAAGGTTGACATACGGATCAAATCATGCGATAAGAAAGCCTCGAAGATTTGTGCGCTCAAAAGCAGATAGAATTTTTCCGATCAGAATGGACCAGTTTTGTCATTTGTCAATAACTGGAACGTGTTGTGCATGTCTCCGGATAGACAGCTGTTACCTGAAATAATGATAGATGAAAGCTCTTTGGTCAGTAATGTAAGACCATATATGATTACTAGAGAAAAAAATTGGATTTAAAGTCGTATTTTGGTTCACAGTTGCCTGTGAGTAGCGGCGTCGGATAAGTGCTATTCATGAGATTGACCGTTCTTCACAGAATCATCACAATCACAATCTGCGGCGCATCTGAAAGATAGTCTAATGCTGCTACTCGTAAGTAACCATGAGCTAAAATACGAATTAAAAATCTGGCCCATCGGGTTTATTTGAGCACGGTTATCCAGTCCTCGCATGAAACACCATATTTGGCGGGCGGTTGTACCTCCCTTCCGTACTATCGAAACAAAGAAACTGAATAACTACCGTTAAAGATGACTTCTGGACAAGTTGGTAATTCTACATTGCACTATTGTGAGCTGGTTGGCATGGTGATAACACAAACGTCTTACATGCGAGAGACGATGTGTTCAAACTCGGATGAGATGGTGGCTATGCACCAGTGATAGGCTCGAACGCAAAAAACGCTCCAGTCAGCCTGACTGGATAAAGTGGTAATTGTTCTTTAGAATGAAGTCTTGAGGGTGGCCATTCACATCAAAACTCACTCTGATGTTGAAACGCAACAGATGGTTCGTTGTGCAATCCTTGATGCCAATACAATTATCCATCGTACTGGAATATTTGTATTTGTAGTCCTTCTGGCCTACAATAAATGGTTTTCCCTACAAATCAACGTTCTCCAAAAAGGCAATTCACGGTGATTGGTGAAACGTAAAAGATACGTTTGTAAAATCAAGTCGAATTACCCGAAATTAGGAGAAAATTAGCCAAACTTTCAATCAGATAGTAACAACCGTATTTTTATGTCACACCACGCAATTTTGCTGCCTTTCATAGAATAGAAGGATAAGAATTAACCAAATTCGTATTAGGATACTATCTGAACAAAACTTAGTGGTGTTGATGAGCTTCTATGTGAGTTTGTTGGCATACCGCGGTTTATAGCATTGATGGGTTAGCTGGTATGCACTACGAATATCGAGCTCTGATGAGAGCGAAATCCTAGTCAGATGCTTCCCGAGAACCCAAAATTGCGCTTGAAACAAAATTCTTAAGGTTACTGAGTTTAAGTCGATTAGCTTTCAGTTTCAGTTTATTCGAATGTTAATCAAGCATTCTGGTATGGCCGTTTTCGTGGCTATCTTTGAGCTACCTATTTCTACAAAGCAACAAAGGTAAGATTAGAGTGCCGGAAGAAGCATCAAACTGCGAAGAAAGGGTTCAGGCTGCAAAGACATTGAGCCCAGGTACAAGCACATTGTTTAAGAAACTAAGACATATAACTAACGATCAAGTATTCTGATCCGGAGGTCCCCGATTAAGGAATCTAATGCGACGTATATGGCCAGGGCTTTCACAACCCACGTCTACATCATAGTTTAACCAAATTTGACTTTCTTCCATCCACCGCCTACCTAGAAGAACATCGGATATCGTGACAGTCTACGTAGGGGTGATCTACATATTGCAAGCCCTAGTCAACGCGATCCATGGTAGGTATTTGTTATCCTGAGCTTCCTCGATCACCTAAACCTATGCTACTAACCTCAGTATTGCTGATCCGGTTACCCCGTAACGGCCAAGTTTCTATACTATGTAGCAGCACAGGTGGAACTGCTGCAGTTTCAGTTCGAAGCTTCGCAGACATTAGGATGTTGTAATGACACAATCGACATTTAAAATTTATAAACATCAACCAAGGCTTCATCGGATAATTGTCCACTAAATGAGGCATAACTCCTTAGGTTACGAAATCCATTTACATTTTCGTTTGCTTTTTCAGTCGTGTGACAACATTTTACATTCCGAAGGTGTCAAGCGCATGCCGAACATAGGTTTGCTATCATTCAAACCATTCAAAAAGCTTACAACTTACTTAGATCTTCACTTAGTGGTACAATACTGTCTGCATACTTCAAACCAGATCACTTTCCACATTCTTTCGTGAAGATCAAGCTGTATTATCGTAATGTTTACCCATCAAAAAGGAGAAAAGTGTACAATTACATCTTGGAGGTTCATACGGAGGTTTGAAGGCTTGAACCCGGTTTCAGTCATCAGTATTGAGAGTTCGTAATATTGAAATAAACGCCTTCATCAGATCTTTCAAGGAGAGATCGTTTTTGAGTGAAGGAAGAGATTGTAGGCCAAGGAACTGAATGTTTGTTCTAGAGAATAAAGAGTAGTGACGAGTGGTCGATGCAACCTCAGTCATCTTTAAAGCCAATATACTTCCTACGACTGTGCCGTTTATAGGCTTCTCACAATTGACAGAGTATAATTTCTGTATGAATTCTCCATCTTCCGCTTGCACTTGTTAATAGTTGTAAAAACTGAACTAAACTGAATTTCAGAAATGCTGTTGCTTAAACTAGTGCCTCCGGGGCTTCACAAAAGTATCTATTGTCTCTCTTGTTATGCGGTAGGATGTCTGATTTACAGCGGTACTCACAAACAGTCATTATTCTAATCATATAAATATATCAAACAACTGAATTTCATCATTTTTGTGAAATATTATTAATAGCATCATCTCCTGAGGCCTATCCTTTCATACATGCGCTACTCTCACTCATACACAGGAAGAAACACTCGGGCGAGAGATTCCTCTCGTGGATTTGAACGTGGCCGGATTTTGTGATGCAAACGTAAGTTCGAAGCAGTTTCACAGACAGAAATTTAACCAATTCCATTGTTTTCAGGAACGTGAATACTTCCCGTTGCAATATCAGATCGCTGCACTGGAACAGAAATTGGTCACTTGTGCCACACAATACGCACAATTGCAAGATGAGCACAAAACACTGCGAAAAAGTCACTATCTGATGGAAGATCACATAAGAAATGCCAATCTGATTGCACGAGATCAGGTGGTGTTTGAAAATTTGAAAATGAACTACCAACTAGTGTCGGCTGTAAGTAATGACAATGATGAATATGATATTAAAAATATAACTTTCTGCTCAATTTTACGCATCACATTTGTGCATAATCAACGTCTAGGTATTTTCCACGAAAACATTGCTTGTCATAAGCGGGTCTCATTCAATTAAATCATGATTCAAATGGATTCAAAACCAAGGTATGCGCATATGACCGTTTTCCGTCCACAAATCCATGTCACACTGTGTTCTTGCATCCGCTTTGAACGTCATAAAAAGAACACTTCATTTAATTGATTTGTATAGTGAAGAGGGGAACGCTAACTATGGAATTAATGGCGACGCTAATGAGGACAATGAAAAGCTACATGTACTTCCCGGCTCGATCATGAACGGACTGGTTGAAAAATTCATACATATAAATACATACAGACAGGTTTATGGACAGTGCATTAGATCGCTTGAGGATTCAAAAATTACTAAACATTTCAGATGTGAATATAATCAGGATTCCATTCGTGTGTTTTGAAATCGGTCACTGGTTATAGTTCCGGTCAAAAAATCTGAATAAAACATGCTTCTTGGAACAGAATGAAAAATCGGGTTCATATTTTGTTAATTGGTTGGGATTTTGTAAACCTTTTATGACAATAGTGTGAGCAGACACTTAGGTTCCCACTGACCGAACCCAATATCTGTGACCGGTTCTAAGGCACGCGAACGGGACCCAGAGTGAAACCGCATTCCAATTGGGGAATGTTTAAGATCCAAATAAAGGAACACTCAACCTACTCATCATAAATCGCTGTCTGGCTGTCTTTCCGTCTGTCTGTCTATCCGTCTGTCTGTCTGTCTGTCTGTCTGTCTGTCTGTCTGTCTGTCTGTCTGTCTGTCTGTCTGAGAGAACTACCGATCTCCGACCTGCTAGCAGTCGCGGTAGTATTTTACCATTCATTCACTGATACGGTTATTCGAAGACCTTCAACACTCGATTACCATCATCATCTATATGATAACAGGGATAAAATTCACCCTTAAAGAGGGAATTGACACAAAACTCGTTTTCTTGGTCCTTCTCATTATGCGAAAAGCGAACGGAAAAGCAGAAACCACTGTGTATAGCGGACTAATATTGACCGATTTAGTGCTGGACATTAACCTGAGTAGCTGTGTGCGCAGTTTATTCCGCCACCTTCACATCCATTGCACCACCAACAAAACTCCGGCTAAAAGAACGAACCTATTCCGTACTAAGGATACCCTAAACGTTTCTTCAGATAATGCCTCAGGGAGAAATAAAATCAAAGAAAGAAGAGAAGAGAATTAAGCTCCTACTACCATACATAAGGAGTGTTAGTAGCTTTCGGCCACATCCTTCATCCTGTGGGTGCTACTAATACCTGAAAACCTACTGCAACACTACGATCCATTTGGTTTGAAAGAAAGGACCACATGGAATCACACGATCTATCAAGGATGGTGTAGGCCTAGGCTGACCAAATCTACGTATCTGAGACTATCAAACAATTGTGTACTCGCCTCCATGACTTCAAACCTGCACAACGACGCTCTGATCCTTAGTTCCACCTTTGGAGACAATGCGCATCGATAGGTCAGAAGAATAGAAACAACAATGCAAATGTAGTGACAATAGCCAAGAGGAAGAGAAAACCCCTGATCCTTGAAGCGCTTCATTCGACTTACTCATTCATGCGGCAAATCAGCATCAATAAACATTACGCAACGATTGAGGAACTTGGGATTGAAGAACAAGTAGGTACACAACAAACTACAGCACGACACACAAGCAGATCGAACTCCTTCACACACACACACACACACACACACACAAACTAGGGCTTAACAACAATTCCCACTCGAGAGATAGATGCCAAAATATAAATTAATGTTGTTTTGCTTTCCATTCACCGGGGTCACCACGAAACAAAGCATTGAAATATTTTTTTGTTTCTTCATTGTATCCCGAGTTCAATGATTGTAATTTCTAAATCTGAAAGAACTGAACAAAGGACGAGTGTGATCAGCTATGTTATACCTTTATTTATTTTTCTAAAATCGAATGGGCTTATGAAGTAACTGAGGTCGTAACATTGGGTGACTAATTACCTTGTCGCAGCACTTTTACCCATCCGTTGTGTGTGCACTTACAATTAATGCAATTCAATATCTGATTCGTTCTGCCTGACCGATTTACTCAAATCCACGGTTTGATACCCGCTTTGATAGGATAGTTCGTAGGGGAATATAATACATTGGCAATTCGACCACAGTACAAATGGTGCATACAAAACTCTTGGACCTGTAAACGATTAATCTGCTCAAGTAATAACAAATAGGAGATCTGAAAATTCCCACGTGGACTGTTAGAGTGACGTGAGCCAACAGGAAGCGATGTCAATGAACGAGACACTATGGCCCACGAATTATAAATATTTTTGTCATTTCGTAATTTATGAGAAACTGTAAAACGATTTACCAAGTCTTGTAGAGTGACAGTTGAGAGAAATTATTTTTTGACCTTGTAAAGTGATCCAGTTATCCACCAGATGAATTGGTCAAAGTTTCAGGTGACTAAACCGCAAAATTTTGCATGCTTTCATTTTTTTCAAATAAATGCACAGAGTTGATTGTTCCTTTGATTTTGTGTTGCTGTTCCCCTAACCTCGTGTGAGCTCATTAGGAACTGGAAGAGGCTCGTCTGTTACTGAGAGATATCCGAAGAATGGGTTGGGAAAATCTACCACAACGGGTGATGCAAGACTGCAAAGAGATGCATGAAAAAATGGTTCGTTTCCCTAAAATGATTTTCTGTTCCATTTATTTACTATTATTGATATTTTTGTTTATATCAATATCGTAACACAGAATCAATTGTTTATGTTAACTCCAAAGCCTACCCACAGGGTTGTTTTACTTCACTATCAAAGTTGGAGTATATGTTAGAAATAAAGAAAACAGTTACCCGACTAATTGACTAATTGAATTGAATCAAATAAGGTATTTTTGTGGTATTTTTATCCAAAAGGGCTACACGACTGCTTTTACTGGTTGGAAAATTTCAAACAAATTGATGTGAAAAGATATGAAAATTTGTTTTGTTCCGATAAATGAAAATCTCTTTGAGATTTTCTTCCAATTCAAGATTTGTCAAAACCGGTTCAAATTTGGACCGAACCAACGAAATTGCAGTACGCAGTTACTATCCCCCATTTGGCACGGCCAACTCTACGTGTGAAATCTTCACCCTTAGAATCAATTTGTGAAAAAACAAGTTTCAACCTGGTTTGACCAGGAAACCATGTTTAAAATTAAAATACTATTGAGACAGATGATTATTCGTAAAACCAATAAAAATGAAAACTACATGTATATTGAACAAAGCTTTTGTTCAAGAATGAACTTCTCCAATGTGCGATTGTATTATAGTTGAAAATCTGTGTATTTGCATTACAACACAGGATTTGTGGATAAGAACTACAACGACTACTACTTGCAAGCTTGTCCAGACATCCAGGTTGTAGTTTGGATAACTCCCAGTTGCCGTCTCATTAGAGACCCTGCCGAATATAAATGAGCTTGTTTTCGTACCCAATAATAATAATAATAGTACATTTTCCAGCGTCCATCATCTGTCACTAAAATAATGCATCGCTAGTGACTCAATGGATTCTCACTTCAAGAATTTACAGTAGATACTCAAGGCACAGCTCTTAAAGGGTTCCGCATCGGTGAGTCTCTCGTTTCTGGACGGGATGTGAACATAGCATTTTCCCCTGAAATTGCATGGGAATGACAACCAATCGAATCATTCAAATCTGTCTTCAACGGTCACGAGTTCCGTCAAACCCTGAGGTTTCTTTGCTCTGATCAGGTTAACGCTTGTTTCCTTTATGCAACCGGCTCTACTGCAGATTCAATTCAAGCACATTTTGGGGTTCATCATTCAAAGGCGTTTATAATCAAAGTTGTCTCAGAAATTAATAAGACTAATAATAAGATTAACAGCTGATTTCGAGGGATTTTCTACCTCGAATTTACTTCAATTTAACTGAATAATTTGCCTATTTTTTGTCAAAAACGAATCACTCTCGGAACCACTTCTCTTTTCAAATAGACCAGTCTAAAGAAAGAACGCGATCGTGCACTGCACGAAGAGTCCGCAGCCAGAGGAATAGCGAACGAAGCGTTAAAACAAGTAAAGCTATTGACTGCTGCCATTGAAGCGCACAAATCGATTACCGAGGAGTTGGAAGTGAGTGGTTTTTGTTGCACGTTCGTTTGTGCCTTGTTGTCCCCTCACTGGTCACCCAGTTCCATGCTGTGAATTACCCTCATGAAATGTTTTGCAAAAATCAAGAATAACTATTCATTGAATCATACCAAAATCTCTGTCCTGGTATCATGCTTTCTATCATGCAATCACAAATGGGCTCAGTTGACAAAACCACTAACATCTGATTGACCGATCTCAGCTCAGTTTATAAAGATGACAAAGAAGAACAAGCGGAGCAAACCAATGGCTATCAGTAATCAATGAAGAAGTCGTGGAGTGGGGGATGAATGAACAAAGGTCAAATGAAATGACAGCCGAGAGAGATGAACCGATTAAAGTGTTTATGATGTTTGTGAGCGAAGGCGAGATAGTGAGATCACGTTGCGTAACATACACTCTATGAAGCATCACATGTGATATAATCGGGGAGAACCAGTGAAGAGAAAAAGTAATAAACTGTTAAGATTGTCGTAGTTGGTATTGGGTAGGGGTGTATGTGAGGGGAGCGGGTTGATCCTCTACTTTATGCAGATCAATCTGGTGTCCAGACCAGGGTAACATTGGTCTCTAAATAAGCAACTTTTGTTTTTATAGATCAGGATTGGCAATGCGAATATAAGTTGCCTCAGCCGTGGTTAAAAAAGGCCTTATTTCTTTCATATTTCCGGGGCAAAATGGGAATATTTTTTGAAGGCATTCAATCTGTTCGCAACATGCACGTTATCGACAGTAGGTCTGACTACGGACGCCGAAATATCACTCAGTCGACCAGCCGATCGCTTTCCGCCCAAGTTTGTGTGACCGACAGACCGACTGCATCCGGGCCAATTACGACCACATCACAGCAATTCATACCAGTAAGCATTAGCCAATTCCAGTTATGTCTACTGGACCCGGGTCATCGATTCACCTGTTCCTCTAAGGTAGGTTTGTCCGTTGCCAGGGCATACCCGAGTCAGCTTCGACAACTCTTGTTTCGACTGCACCACTGTGTGAACATCATAATCATAATTAGGGCACGGCCGCAAGGCTTGACATTGAATAGTTTTAGTGAGTGCGATTATCTCATGACTGCCTCATAAATCACGGGCCTTTGTCCCCTAACCCGTCCACGATATTCACATGGGCCCAGGTGACAAACAAGTGAGTTGGGCGATAATCGAGGGTTTTCCCAGTCCTATGGATAAACGACTCTCAAAGCGAGACGCGACGGTAACAGCCTCATGAACACCGTCACTCCACCCTACCGGTCTCGTTTGTTTTCGTCTTGAGAACGAGAGGAATTGGCTCATGATCATCTACGCAATCAATGTACCGCGGATAATGCTCCGCGTAGATACCCTTGTCGCCCAACCCTTCTTCATTGCCTAAAAAGACAAAAAAATGTTTTACCAAAATCCAATGCCACACCCGTTGGAATCATGCCGTCACTCTTTGATGCCGTGCCTTAATTATGATCATGATGTTTACATAGCAATGCAGTCGAAGCCAGAGTTGTCGAAGCCGGCAACGGGCACACCTACCCGAGAGAGACAGATGAATCGATGACCCGAATCCAGTAGACATGACTGGAATGAGTTAGAGCTTACGTGCATGTTTCTCTGTGTTGTGGTTGCAATTGGCTCGAATGGAGTCGTTCTGTCCGTCATTAATTGTTGGTATACCGCTGCTTGACTGAGGAATNNGATGCAGAATCGAGTGTTAATCATACAATCAATGTCCTTCTTTGGTCAGGCGAATATAACTGCAATCCAACGAGCAGAAATGCACACAGAACATGGTGAGATAGTTCGAGGGGAGGGAAAAGCTGAGCGAAAACTGTTCCCGAAGAAAATAAAAACCTTTAAAACTATTGTCTCTTATCTTACTTTCCGTTTAACGCTGATAAAATAATAATCAATGATTCAGATATACTTGATTTAAACTATTGAATTCGTCATTGATTTGATTAGGGAAACAACCCTGTCCTCGTGTCAGGATAGCGGCATCGATTTGCTCCCAAGTGGTAGACCGATCCGGAGCATCCAGACGACATTGTACTGTTAAGTGAAGATCCAGATATGTTGCAAGCGCTTCTGTACAAAGGATAAAGATAGACTGTCGGTGTTCATATCTTTATTCTGATTCATCTAACTTACCGCTTCGATAGTTGAAGAAACTAGGGTTACTTGCCATCTTTTGGCCTTCATCGTGCGTTGTGCACTTCTGACCCATGGTTTGTTTAGCCTCCGCGTGTGACTTTTAGCCTTTTGGCCTAGCGCAACCTATCTCTAAACCCAGGTTGTACTCTTATCCGATCAGAAAGTCAGTGACATGTTCAGAAGGTAAGGTATAATATTCTAATGCGATGGAAATGTTTGTGATGACCGAACTGGACTGCTATTCCGTCCTGTTGTGGACTCGTCATCAGTGCGCACTTATTGTGTTCTTGTCAGGACTCGAACCGTGAACTTTCTGGTCGGGACTTCAAACCCTTACCCCTGAGCTACACCGTCGACGGTCATCACTTTGTGCGAATGGTTCAATCAATTTTAGAATATCAAGCTTGGTTTAGCCCATTTGATTGTTCAAATGGACCAGGCACTCTTGATGGTCTTGATTGTGGATTTCACTCCTTGAAATGAAACGGCTGCCTAGGGCTCTTAGTCAATCATCACAAACCTTTCCATCGCCTTAGAATGCATTTACCTCGTGAGGAATTACCGATCACCCAAAGAGTGAAACCCAAAATCAAGACCATTAAGAGTGCCTGGTGCCTCTGCAAAATCGAATGGGCTAATCCAAGCTCGATACTATAAAACATGGTATAATATATCTGTAATTCGATCGTTCATGACTTAACGACGGTTGAACACTTAGATCATCAAATTAAGCCTTGTTTATAGTCCGGTTACGGTTTTCACGAGGTAAAACTGACTGATGAGCTAGTGAATTACTGATGTTCATTAAGAGTGTATTGATAGTGCCACCGAATTTCCTACCAGCTGTTGATGCTCAGTGAATAAATCGACGGAAAATCACTTTAAAATGTTTTGTGGAGGTAAACAAAGAGCACCATACAACTGTTTCGTCTTTAGTTTGGCATACCAGTAGACTCCCTATTGTTACTAGATCCTTGGGTTTGGAAAACAAAACCCTTTCCCCAGTTACATCGTGAATGGTCTTCTACACATGGCGATATGGAGTAATCATGGTCATTTTTATTTCACATAAACTCACAGATATAGAGTCTGTGTACAGTTGTTCCGGTGTCGGTCCCATCCCACGGGAGTTCCTTAAGCCACAACAGATCTGGCAAGTTTTGTCAAGAATGTACCAGAACTGTGGAAATTATGGGAAATCTCATGCAATAATTCCTATACGATCAAAGCAATATACAGACTGCTAATTACTATTCGTAATTATTTGTTTCTCCCACTGCTTCCATTAGACTACTCATGAGTAGCATTCAGCGTTTATTTCCCCAACAGTTAGACTTTCGTTTTTGTGCATCCCATGGCGTCTGTGGTCATGAAATTTACATATTATGATAGCGTATTTACCGGACCTTTATTGCTGTGATTTCCATATGTTTATTCATGAGGTTGCATGTTCCCATTGGCATAAAACTTTTCGGAGCGCTTGCTCTCCGAGTAAAAGCCTGCCGCCAGCAGAGCCCGAACCGCAGACCACCCGTAGTTGATACGCGTCAACCCCAAGCCACACACGTTTATCCCAGACTTGTTTAGTCCTTATCTCAATGCTGCCCTCTGACACATACCTATCACTTACACCGCCTCTTAGCATCGCATTCCGATTTGCAAACATTTACTACATTTCATCCCAAAACATTGTGATTTCCTTCTCTATCGTTTTAAGCCGGAACTAAAGTGTATTGGAAGCCTTTTCCATATCGTACCGCAACCTCTCCCAATTTGAATTTCACTATTGTGCTACTGTTACGCTTATCTGTCTGCCGGGTAAACTTTGTTCTTACCATTTATGTCACAGACTGTTGCTGTTGCCCTATAATTTGGTTGCTCACCTGACAGTAAGTTACTTTTTCTATTTTATTATTACTGTATGATTTTATAACCACGATTAACACCATTGTCGATAAACACTGCTACTTTATTGGACTTCGTTCTGTTGCCCGTAGCCGTGCTCTGCCTCTATCGTGCATATAGCTATCCAAACTAATTTACCGAGGAATTCCAGTCTGATAAGGCGTGCAGCACAGACTCCGTGTCTGCGATTTGATCACCGGTGAAAATAATCATTTCAGTTGATTCGTCCTACCATCACTTATTCAAATAATTCTCCACATAAACTTAACAAACATTTTTTCGGCTTTATTTCATGATCCTCCAGGCACAGCGCGAATATTCCCGGGGAATGTACAACAAATCAATTAGACACTTTCAAGAGGAATTTGAACACAAATCCTTGCTTCAACTTGCACGAGATGAAAGACGCCAAAAACACCTTGAATCACTCGTATTTGAGTTGAAAAAATCTATGAAAGATAAATCGTTGGAAAACTTGAAGAATGTGGTATGTTGTTTTAGGCTGGAAACATGCAACTCATAATTATCTGCAGATATTTCACTCAAACCTAGTCTATCTGTGCCCATCGCTGGAAGAGTGTCGTATCGGTCCACTTGTGAGTTGTTGTTTTTATTCTTTTCTTTCAATATTTATATAATTATATTTTTTGAGGATTTCACAATCAAGTCGTTATAATTACGTTTATTTCAAACATAAGCGAAAACCAACGTTGATAATGCATAGTTTGGATTATTTAGTGATAGCAAAAGTGGGGTTGATCAGGCCCCGAAGTTGCTCTTTGAAGTAAGGAAAAATGCTAATGATGGCCCGGTTTTGTTAAGTTATTCGCTTGGGCCGCGTGGTCACTTTTTCCAGGGAAGTAGAGCAATGTGGATCGAATTCCGTAGCACACATACTTCAAAAAACAAACGATAACCGACCCAGCTGATTTCGATGGTCTAATCCGAATCGTACTTGGATGAGACTGCGCGGTCTCGAAGAAATGATGGTGAATACCAGACTGGTGTCTACAGAAGCACCGCCTATGAAGAGTGGGCCACGACTGACTGGAATTAGGTCTGTTGTATCCTACAAAAGCAGGCAGACAGGCAGGTAGGCAGGCAGGCACAGACTAGGCCAACGGTTACCAAAAGGAGTATGTTGTCACGCTGGGCAGTCAACGAATCAATCAATTCGGACAGGTCAATACTGACCTCCGATCGACCTCGTAACCGAGTAAGCCCACATGCGTACGTGCGTGTGATGACAGTCTTCTATGGTCAATCATGTGATGTGCGGTAAGTGTT